CTTGACAAAAAGGTACTAAAACAATAGCTGTTATTTTTATATCCTAAGGTATAAAGGTAAATGGGGAATTTACATTTTTAAAATATATTTCTATACTTTCCATGATTATGTGTTACCTCTATACTATTTGAAACAAAACTAATAACTGAGAAAACTGTTTTTTAAAACTCTTTTGTTCTTTTGAGACAGTCTTGCTCAGTTGCCCAGGCTGGAGTGCAATGGTGTGATCTCAGCTAACTGCAACCTCACCTCCCGGGTTCAAGCGATTCTCCTGCCTCAGCCTCCCAAGTATCTGGAATTACAGCTGTTCACCACCACGCCTGGGTAATTTTTGTATGTTTAGTAGAGATGGAATTTCGTCATGTTGGCCAGGCAGGTCTCAAACTCCTGGCCTCAAGGATCTGCCCGTCTCAGCCTCCCAAAGTGCTGGCATTATAGGCGTGAGCCACCGCGCCCGGTCACTATTTTCTAAAAACTAATAAAATAGCCCACACCTTGAGCAAAGTTCCCACAGTGAAGTCTCAACCTATCTTCAAATGATACTAGTCAGTTTCCTATGGCTCATGGAGAAAGAAAACTCAGGTCTACACTAAGACTGCCTAGGTTTCAACGCTAGCTCTGCCTCCCACTAGCTGGGTGGCTATGAGAAAACAAGTTATGTTCTTCCTTTTTTTTTTTTTTTTTTTAAGACGGGGTTTCACCATGTTGGTCAGGCTGGTCTTGAACTCCCGACCTCAGGTGATCCGCCCGCCTTGGCCTCCAAAGTGCTTGCATTACAGGCGTGAGCCACCATGCCCGGCCACAAGTTATGTATGTCTCAGTCTCCTCGGAAAAAAGAGTATCACTTCAGAGTCACTGTTCGGTGGAAAAGTGTTCATTTGTATAATCATAATTACTTCCCATGCCCAAATACACGACCCACACATTCTTTGATTTATGTGAATAAAACAAGAAGAATATTAACAAGTCGTACTCACATGAGGTTCTGCTGCCTCCTCCTCTGTGCAGTGCTTTTTGAGAAGTCAGGGCTGGGGAAGAAAAAGAGGCTGTGAAATTACCAGGATTGTGTCTCCATCCCCAATATATCACCGGCATCCCCCAGTACCAGTGAGAAACAACCATCTTCCTTCCTAAAAAGAGGTCAAGGACAATCTAGCTTCATGGGCTCACAGAAGTTCGCTACAAAATGGGAGTTTCTAGGGAAAATGTAGTATTGGCAATCCACGTACTGGGCAGTTTTAAACTTTTTGTACTACCTTGCTTTTTCTCACAACATTCTATTACTTTTATTTTCCTTCAGAACAGCAAACAAAGGCACGGGGATTAACTCGCTCAGTGTGATACTGCATAAAGTGGTAGGGCTGGCTCACTAGGTGGAAGGGGAGTCACAATGCGGGAGCAAACAGCCCCAGAGACCTTCAAATCCGAAGAAGCACCACCCCAGCAGCCCCAAGCCAGTACGGCCCCAATGCAAACAAGCTCCGCCGAGGGAAACGCAAAAGAGCATCCTAGCCCCTCAAACCTCTGCTCTTAGCCGCTACTCCTTTTTTTCTCCAAACAAAACACAGCTACCTGTTGACCATAAGCGCATTTCGGGGAAGTCTAAAACGTTCCTGAGGAGCTGACTTAAAGAACCAAAACCAGAGAAAAAAGATGGCTGCTACGTCGTCTTCCTGGGTGGAAGTGCCTCCGACTCCCAGGAGCACTAGGACTACACTTCCCAGAATTCCACAGCACTGCCTTCCTCGAGCAGGAAGTGCCTGCAACTACCTGGAGCGATTGGACCTACATTTCTCAGGATCCCGCAGAGGAAACATTTACAGCATAACTGTAGCTGACCTATGTGCGACTACACGGAGCTCCGGACAACATATCACAGAATGCTGGAGTTGGGGGAAAAGCAGAACAGCATCCCCCTCCTGGACTACACTTCCAGAATGTCCAAGCCTTCTGATGTGGAAGTGTCAAACTATCTTGAGCTCCTGGTTTTCATTTCCCAGAATCCCTCACGTCTCTTTAGGTACTATTACGGTCTCAGTGTTTATGGCCCCGCCAAATTAATATGTCGAAAACCTAACTAACTCCCAAGATGATGGTATTAGGAAGTGGAACCTGTGGGAAGTGATCAGATCAAGAGAGCAATGCCCTCATGAATAGGATTAATGCTGTCTTCCAAGTGGCCTGAGGGAGCTCCTTTGCCACTTTAGTATGTGAGGACACAGCCAGGACCACCCATGACTCAGAAAGCGGGACCTCACCAGACACTGAATCTTCTGGCACCCGATCTTGGGCTTATGTGCCAGCAATTCCACTCCTAAGTAAATACCCAAGATAACTGAAACATATCCATACAAAAACTTGTTCTAAAAAAGTTCATAGCAGCATTAGTCATATATTTATTTATTTATTTATATTTATTTATTTATTTTGAGACTGAGTCTCACTCTGAGACGGAGTCTCGCTTTGCTGTCCAAGCTGGAGTGCAGTGGCTTGATCTCAGCTGGCTGCAACTTCCGCCTGCCAGGTTTAAACAATTCTCTGCCTCAGCCACCCAAGTAACTGGGATTATAGGCGCCTGCCACCATGCCTGGCTAATTTTTGTATTTTTAATAGAGACAGGGTTTCACCATATTGGCCAGGGTAGTCTGGAACTCCTGACTCATGATTCACCTGCCTTGGCCTCCCAAAGTGCTGGGATTAACAGGTGTGAACCACCGTGCCTGGCTGAGCCATACCGTATTTTTACCCCACACCTATTAAGTGAATACCAAAAACAACTTGTGGAAATTGGATAATTTTATCAAATGTATTATTTGGGCAGGATTGACATTTACCATGCTTTTCCTTATTCTCTTAATACTTCTCTACCTGAGAAGTACTTATTAATACTCAGGTAGAGAAGTACTAATAAGAGAATGCTACAGTTATTAGAAGGCAGTCATTTCAAAGTCTGGATGGAAATGTGGAAAGTCAGAAATCAAATAAATTCAAGGAGGGGTGATAAAATTTTTGTCATTGGCAACTACTTCTGACACTTTAAAAGTGTTAGAGTAGGGCCGGGCGCGGTGGCTTAAGCCTGTAATCCCAGCACTTTGGGAGGCCGAGGCAGGTGGATCACGAGGTCAAAAGATCGAGACCATCCTGGTCAACATGGTGAAACCCCGTCTCTACTAAAAATACAAAAAATTAGCTGGGCATGGTGGCGCGTGCC